GAATACTGTAATCAATACACAATTCTTCTTAAGTGCTGAAACTTAACTGAAAAGTGATTGCTGTTAAATATAAGAGTGGGAATAAGAGAGGGAAGAGATGTACAATTCGGGACATGCTCAAGCTGACTTACCTCAAACGGTAGAGTTAGAAACATACCAGGGGATTCCAATTCAATCCCGTCAAGGTGGCATGTACCAATGCTATCTCACTAGTCCCAGTGATCAATTTCTGTTCACAATTGATCATAATGATAGGACTAAGAACCAAAGGGATCACATAAACAAGAATAGTGTCTGCAAATACTAGCTGATAGAATCAAAAAGGGAGAGAATGATCCAACATGGGAAGTGAGATACACAGCAGACCCATAGAATGGCAGATGTCCTAAACAGCACTCTGGCCTCAGAATCAGCCCTTAAGGCATGCGGATCTGGCTGAAATTCCCATGAGAGTATTTCAGGCATGGAAAGCCAAGACACTCTGGGGGAAAAAAAAAAAAAAAAAAAACCTAAATGAAAGATCTCTGCGAGTGAGATCCCAGTGGAAAGAGGAAAGAACAGGTCATCAAAGAAGGAGGTACCTTTCTCTGAAGGGAGGAGAGAACTTCCACTTTGACCATGGCCTTGTCTAAATATGATCAGAGTCGGTGAACTCAGGGTGCATCCATAGCCTTGGCAGCTCATGACAAGAGCCTAGGGTGATTACTGATGCCATAAACAAGAGTGTCAAATTGTTAAGTCAACAACAGGAGTCACTGTGCACTTACTCCTCATGTAGGATCTCTGTCCTTAGTGTGCTGTACATTGAGATTTAATGCTACAACTAGTACTCAAACAGTATTTTTCACTTTATGTTTCTGTGTGGGAGCAAACTGTTGAAATCTTTACTTAATGTATGCTAAACTGATCTTCTGTATATAAAGAGAATCAAAAATGAATCTTGATGTGAATGGAAGGGGAGAGGGAGTGGGATAGGGGATGGTTGCGAGTGGGAGGGACATTATGGGGGGAAGCCATTGTAATCCATAAGCTGTACTTTGGAAATTTATATTCATTAAATAAAAGTTAAAAAAAATGTTGAGACTATATTCATGTTATGACTCATTTTGCAACATGAATCTGAACCATGTTTATTAATTGTTGATGTTTACCTGTTTTTTGTTTGTTTGTTTTTTAACTTTTATTTAATGAATATAAATTTCCAAAGTACAGCTTATGGATTACAATGGCTTCCCCCCATAATGTCCCTCCCACTCGCAACCATCCCCTATCCCACTCCCTCTCCCCTTCCATTCACATCAAGATTCATTTTTGATTCTCTTTATATACAGAAGATCAGTTTAGCATACATTAAGTAAAGATTTCAACAGTTTGCTCCCACACAGAAACATAAAGTGAAAAATACTGTTTGAGTACTAGTTATAGCATTAAATCTCAATGTACAGCACACTAAGGACAGAGATCCTACATGAGGGTTAAGATGTTTACCTGTTTTTAACATATACCTATCTGTACACTTAGAGTAATATCTACTATGGCCTGAATCATGTTCCTCTCAGAACCATATGTTGAAGACTTCATCTACTGTAGCCCGAGACAGGACAGTTAGGAGGATAATGAAGGTTAAATAAGTTCATAAGCGTGGGGACCTAATCAAATAGGGCTGGTGTCTTTCTAAGAATTGGAATACATAGGAAAAGTCTTGTAAAGCCATAGTGAGAAGTCAGGAAGAAAAATATTACCAGAAACCAAATTTGCCCACCCTTTGATTTGGCTTCTTGCCTCTATAATGGTGATTGTGTTATTTAAGCCACTCTGCCTGTGGTATTTTGTTTTTGCAGCCTGAGGTGACTAATGTAATATCCAAGTTGTCTCTCATATAGACTATATGTCATAGTCATTTAGATGTTAGTGAACACCTATTAAGTTACCACTTTATTGCAGTGTTAATTAATGGGTTTCTCCTGATACAACTTTGTTCTTCACCATGGTTCCATAACTTCTACTCAGCAATTCTTCTGTCCCTTGCTATAATACAGATACATATGTCCCAAACTACATCCTCCTAATCCTACATCCTGGGCATTAACTGTTATTTAGTGTTCAATAGATCAGGTACAAGTGATGTGGTGATCAAGTACTGAGGAAGGTAGCTCTTTGAAGATTACATGCTCCAGATAATTAAGCTGTATGTGTATGTTTGTATGTGTATGTTCTTTTGAACGACATTTTAAAATTTTAGATGTTTCCAGTTGTGCAAAATGGCTTTTGGTATTGGCATTAACTGTTACTAAACAATGTACTGATTTGCTACCCAATACAGTGCCACATGGGAACTTGAGGCGATTCAATTCTCTGTATTAGACATTCTGCTCAGTGTCTCAAGCTGGTTGTGAAGGGATGTTTATTCTGTGAGCTACATTCACTCTGCACTTCAGTATTTAAAGTGGTTGTGTTGTTATCTTTGCACTTGACTGATACTGCATATGAGACTACTCCAATTTCCACATGTCATTGAATGAATTATTGTTGTTGTTGCATGCTCCTATCTCATAGACACCTAGTGTTTAAGAGTGTTTAATAGTGTCAGGATCAACTGGTGTGCTACACAAACACCAAGGAAGGGTAGCTCTTGGAAAATTGTGCAGGAAATTAACTAAGGTTCCTTTTTTTAAAAAAAAAAAGTATTCATTTTATTTATTTGAAAGAGCTACAGAGAGAGGTAGAGACAGAGAGAGGTCTTCCATTTGCTGGTTCACTCTCCAAATGACCACAGTGACAGGAGCTGAGCCAATCCAAAGCCAGGAGCCAGGAGCTTCAAGTCCAAGCACTTGAATCTTCCTCTACTGTTTTCCTAGGCACATTAGCAGGGAGCTGGATCTGAAGTGGGTCAGATGGGAATCGCACTGGTGTCCATATGGGATGCTGGCACTGCAGGCTGGGATTTTAACCCACTGCTCCACAGTGCCACCCCTAACCAAGCCATCTTATTGAAGGGTATATGGAATCTTTATGTTTCTGCATTAGTTTGATGAAAGTCATGAAGCAAATGAAAAGACAGGTGTAAATAATGGATTTTAATTACACTTGTAAACAAGAATCCAGGCATTTTAGCCACTCTTGGAGGAATTACATCATCATCTTATTCCTTAAAGCAGGGTTAACATTTACAGTAACTGAGAGGACAGTTATTTTCAACAATGTGGATAAAAGCAGTGAAATATACAACAAGTACAATTCTTCTTATGTGCAGAGATCTTTGTGAATAGCATGAAGAAGGATTGCACAACAAATATTTACTACTCTTATGCACTGAGAATATTTTTCAATACTCTCAAAACAAATGATTTTTTAAAGACTTATTTACTTATTTGAAAGAGTTACAGAGAAAGAGAAGCAGAGGCAGAGAGAGAGAGAGAGAGATCTTCCATCTACTGGTTCACTCCCCAAATGGCTGCCATGGCCAAGGCTGGGCCAGGCCAAAGTCAAGAGCCAGGAGTTTCATACATGTCTCCCATGTGGTTACAAGGGCCCAAGGACATGAACCATCTTCCTCTGCTTTCCCAGGTGCATCAGCAGGGAGCTGGATTGGAAGTGGAGCAGCTGGACTCAAACCAGCACCCATATGGAATACCAGCACTGCAGGCAAAAGCTTTACTAGTTATGCTATAGAGCCAACCCCTTAACATATGATTTTACATTAATTTTGGAAGAACATTTTTTTCAGAATAATTAAGTTCTATATTAACATTAAAAACAATATCATAAAGGAGAAGACCATGGTTTCTCATCTTTTTATGCCACACTGTCTATACTGCTGTGGTTTTTGGCAATATGTATCACACTTACTACAGAAAGTTTACTTATTAATTTTCTATTTGTTGCTAAATACGATACTCATTTCCCTCCAGTGGTACAATTCATAGCTTAACAACTGTAATGTTTATATATAGAATTGGAGAAGTACTTGCTATTTGTAGACTTCAGCTGTTAGGATTTTTTTATCTAGATTTGTGCTACACTAATAGAAAAGACTGAATGAGTAACTGAATAGAATGTGGCATCCCTGTTCTCCTCAAATGAAGCAATTACTTTGAATACCCCCAAGAGACAAAGAGCATTCTGCTTTAGTGTAACTTTAGAATTTTATATGGGTCCCTTTATGCTTGGTGGAGATTTCTGCCTAACATCAGTAACATAACTACTTTGTCACAGTTTTTGGTACTTTCGATTTTCATTTGTTCTCAACTGAAAATAGTATCATTGAAGAGGATATTAAGTAGTAATAGTCTAAAAGCCCTTACAGATAGATTTATGTATATTTATGAGTATGTAGGAAAAATGTATAAAAAGTACACCCAGTGTCAAAAAAAGCAAAAAGAGAGAGAGAGAGAGAAAGCTGCAGGTAGTTTGTATGTTTGCACAGTATTCCCATGTTCGTGAACACTTAGGTTAATTCAATCATGAGACCAAGAGGTGTTTCTGCAGTTATATTTGCATTTATTTATAGTTTCTCAAATTTCCTTTTCTAATTAAAGCCTTCTTAGTGCTAGTAGGTGGTTGTTGATTTGTACATTGCAACTTCAAATCACTTAATTCCCTCTAAAGGTCAGTAAGTCTCTAAACCTTTTAGCCTTTCTATTAAGATCCTAATCATGAAATTAAAGCATCAGTAGCAAGCAGATGATCTAATGTAAGTGGTGTTCATGTTTTCTTCAGTGTGCAAATCAATAGAGATATCTTGATGGCTTGCATTTTAATGATATAGCTACTGCAAATGAATCCAGCTTATTAAATAGATATTCAAAATGTGTGAAGTGCCCCAAAGGCTTTATTTTAACCAAATATTTTGGCTCTAATGGTAAATAATACTCATGACATCATAAACTCATGGCATTTCTGAGAAATGCCAAATTGCGAAAGAAAATGGAATCCATAGGACAACAGACATGACCTTGAGAAACAAAAACATGCTAGAGTCATATTATCTTATTTTCCAGGTGCATATGTGCTCCAGGTCAAGGCCACCGATGCAGATGACCCCACCTATGGAAACAGTGCCAGAGTCGTTTACAGCATCCTTCAGGGACAACCTTATTTCTCTATTGATCCCAAGACAGGTAAATTTTTTATTAGAGACAACATTATCACCACCCCTTCAAATATTTAAACTTTAATTAAATCTTGGCATAGGAAGTTGCCTATTCTAATACAGCAATAAAGAATCAGTGTGTCGCATACTAAGCAAAGAAAATAGGATCTCTTTGCTGCTGCAGAACTATTTCCCTTTGTTGGAGATTTGTATAGATTCAAACCTTTTGAAATATATCTATAAATATATTTCTTTGTATTGTTTATAATTTTTGAGTTTTCTACCAACAGTAGGTTTTTATTTCAGGTTTTTAGTTCGGGTTCAATTGTATTTGGGTTTTGGCCTTATCAATATGTGGTAAGATCCCACAGCCTCTATTGTTACCTATATAAGGGTTATGGACAGTCTACAATGGAGGAAAGGAGATAGCTAACAAATATAAAACACCATGACCATTGATTCTGTGTCCCACATCTTTGATGCAAGTCACATTTCTAAATAAATAAATCATTGCAGGTTTCAAAATCAAATATTATATGAGTAGCATAAGCTTATTTTATTTATTTGAAAGGGAGAGTTACAGAGAAAAGTAGAGAGAGAAAGAGAGAGGTCTTCCATCTGCTTTTTTCACTCCCTAAATGGCCACAATGAGCAGGGCTGGGCCAGGCCTAATTCAGGAACCAGGAGCTTCTTCTGGGTCTCCCAAGTAGGTGCAGGGGCCCAAGGACTTGGGCTATCTTCTGCTGCTCTCCCAGGTGCATTATCAGGGAGCTGGATCAGAAGTGGAAGAACTAAGACTTGAACTGGCACCTATATAGGATGCTGCTGCTGCAGGCTGGGGCTTTAACTAGCTGCACCACAGGGCCAGTATATGGGTAGTCTAGAAAGGACAGAAGGGATGAACGTGGAAAATTTTGTATTATTTTTTTAATTGAAATGAGGTGCCTCTGTTTCTAGGCAACATGATTTTATTCAATGCTATATTTTAGTTAAGGAGTTAATTTGACCAGTAATCCAAGTAGGCATTCCATGTCACATTTATAGCAGAAACTCTAAAACAACAGCTACTTTATCAACTTTTATACAGTACATGATAATATATCTCAAGTTGAATTATACTATGTATCATATTATCTTAAAATATTGAAAAAGTTGCAATAATCTGGAAAAATAGGTTACGTTTAAAATTTGTAAATTAATCATTAAATACATCAATTTGGGTGATATGCATTTCAGAACACTACATATGCAAATGAGCTAAACCTTTCAAATTTTGTACTCCAAAGTGGTGTGAGCTAAAATCTGGCATAACAATTACATATAGATTAATTAACAATAAGGCATATTTCTCAACTAAAGTGGAAATGCAGAACCTAAAATATATTCTCCCAACTGTAGCTGCTTTTCTCTCCTCCCTCAGACTGCCTTCATCAAGCAAAGAGGAGACAAAATGCATCACAAACTCAAAGAATGAGGCAGGGACTTGCTTCCTTGTATAAGACATGAAAAAGAGTAGAAGAATAATGGCGGCATTGGTCCATCAGGAGTTCCTTTAACAAGGGAGCATTGGTGTTGAAGAAACTCCAAAAGTGTTTAGGAAAAGAACGAGTTTTGGTTTGGGCAGAATGTCAGAGACCAAAAGCCAGCATGCCAAATGTTAAGACTCAGTGCCTGATGGGGAAATTATACCTACAATGCAGACTCTTTTTCAAGAACTATGGTGATAAAGATAAGAATATATTTGTTAATATCTTTGTTGAGGAAGTTTTGTGGTTTTTTAACTGTGGGGAGTTAATAAGAGAAAAGGAAAAAATTGGAGGGGAAAGAGGTTGGGGAAATTCTTCCTTGAATTCTGTGTTGGTACAAAGATCCAGAGGAAATCAGATTGTTTGATAATCAATAAAATATGTCAGCAGTAATGAAACTAATTTATAACTACACAAAATATAAGATAAAACCATACAAATACAAGTTTAAGTTAAGCATGGGTTAATAATATAATTTCAATAGTTAAATTAATACCAGGAAGAACATAGCATGATACAAAATACATGCTCTCTGCTTGACTTGATCAACATCAACTTCAGATAGATTTTAATATCTTTAAAAAGTGTTATTTTACCATTGAGCACATACATAAATATATTTAGCTTTTATAATTTTGGTTTTATATTTTTATACAATTCCTCTTATTTACATCTAACAATGAAATCATTCTGGCATAAACTGTGTAATAGATTTTTGAAGCATTGATTTTCACTGGAGACAGAAGTCTTGCTACTAACACTGCCTCAGACCACTAGACAGGAAAAGAGTGGATGCTGGTGCACTTCATTAACAGAATGAAAATGAGTTCTTCATATACAGAAACCATTAAGAAGACTTTTTGTCAAATTTATCACCTTGTGTTAGCTAAGAATAAATCAAAAATCAGGATAATTGCAATTTCTCAGAAATAGTCCCCATTTGTTCCAGCCGTATAGTTTCCTTTTATGATTCCTTTTACTGTTAGTAAATAAAAGGCATGAAAAACTGTTATCTAAAATTTTCCACTTTTAAGTATAGAAAACATTTTAAAATGATTCTTAAAGCTTCATCAAATCAACTTACGTCTAAAAGTTGGTGAAAAGATAAATAGATCAATTTGTTATTTATTTAAAATAAGAAAATCAAAAAAGAATTTATTTATTGATGTTTCAGTTGACAAATATTATTGACCTCTCTTTCCAAGCAGATAAGCAAGCTTATTTCTAAATGGTATAAATTGATGTATTCTATGAAATACATGATGAAAGAATAGCTCTTTGAAATTTGGCTTTTTGAAAATTAGTTGGCTTAACTATGAAATTATTTACTCTGATCTAAAATCCAGATGCATTCATATGTAGTCAAACGATTGCTAAATGATATTTTAAAAACTCATAATGTAGATAAATATTTATAACACTATACAATTATGCTGATTATCCTTAATGTATATAAAACATTTATGTTTATTGAAATATTGCATCATTTTATTACAAAATTATTACACTTAATGTTTATTAAACATTAAAATGTTCCTAATCTATAAAACATTAAAAAGGAAAAAGTATTATAATATTTTATTCAGTGCATGAAATGGAGATGCTAAACATCTCCATAGCATTGGTACTAATTATTCCATTTAAGAAAACAAATATTACTCTGAATGATTGACCACTACATCCTTATTTATGTGTAGCATTTTTAAATGTATTTAGGTTATCCCATAAATGATTACAAATAACTAGTCTAAGAAAATTAGATATTGCTACAGTGTGTTTTGTTTGATGTATTATTCTAAATTATGTGAACTGTGCTTGAGAAAACTTTATATTATTTTATCTCAATATCAGCTTACTAAAGACTGTTTTGTATTGTGGTAAAATAAATACAATATAAAATTTATCACTTTAACTATTTTAAGGGTACAAATCAATAGCATTGAATACATTTAAAATACTGTATAACCAGCACCACCATCCATTTTTAATGCTTTTTCATAAAAACATAAATTTATGTGCATTATAAAATTTTGTACTCAAGAAATGCCCATGTTTTCTACTTGCAAAACAAACGTAAATTTGTATACACTTAAAAACACATATGAATTTAGTTGTGTGACAGTAGGGTAGCACTTATTACTTTTTAAAATTATTATTATTAATTTATTCTCAGGATCTTTGCTTTTTCAGCTATCATCTTTTATCAGCGATAATATTCTTTAAGATTATGTTGTAACAGCAACATTTTCCCACTTTCTGACTGACATTCATCTTCTTAGGTACACCAAATGTTCAGCCCATGTTACTGTTGGAAAGACCTATATTAAGATGAATGTATGGGTCACATTTTATATTTTTAGCTAATATTTTATAATATTATAAATATATTATTATTGCTTAAAAGTTATTTTCATGTTAACTCAGAATTTGTGCAGAAATCAGATCCTTTAATGGGTGTTAGTGAGAGTAAAAGAAAACATCTTCTTCCTTCAAGGGCAAATAAGAGACTGTTTACCCACAAAGTAGTCATGCCTTTAGTATTTTTGTCAGAATGAGTGGATGGAAGCAGTAAAACAAAAATTGATTATGGAAATTGCAAGGGCAAGGAAATCAGCAAATGCTAAAAAATCCAAGGGACTTCCAGAGATTCATGGAAAAATGAAATTAAAAGATAAGTTTATTTTCTTGCAAAAAAATTAGAAGTCCACACAGTTTGCTGATAAAATATATTTTCCCAGAACTTTTTAAGACCCCTGTGAAAGGAAGGAATAATATGTTCAAAGATATGCAATTATTAAGATAATATATCCCATGCTGCTACTTATAATATTTTGAATATGTATAGTAAAAAATGCATGGCAAGAATTATACTGCAGACAATGACTTCTTTGTGTTCTGCATTATCAGACTTCAAGAGGGCTCTGTATGAGTATTGCTTGCCTTATTTTAAAAATTATAAGGTGTTCATATTATCATACTAACAATGTTTGACCTTGAAAAGCCAATATTCCAGGGGTTATGACACATGCCTTCAAGAAGTTTTTGAGTCATGATATGGAAGAGTAAATAGCTGTATTCTGTATTGCAAGAAAGGAAAAAAAGCTCTCAATAGCTAGTATATGTAAAAGAAAGAATTTTGGCTTTATATACATTCACCACACACACACACACACGCACACACACACTAGGTAGCACTTGCCATAAATAACATAAATAAGAGAGATGCCTCATGAAAATGTGAGCTTTGCATTACTGGATGTGTGAAAGCAGATGACCTGGCCTGGGAAAGCAGTAGAAGATGATCCAAGTCCCTGGGCCTCTGCGTGGGAGACCCAGAAGAAGCTCCTGGCTCCTGGCTTCAGATTGGTGCAGCTCTGGCCATTGCAGCCAAATGGGGAGTGAACTGGTAGATAAAAGACCTCTCTCTCTATCTCTCTGACTCTCCTTCTCTCTCTCTGTAACTCTGACTTTCAAATAAATAAATAAATCTTAAAAAAAAGAT